AAAAAAAAAAAAAAAAATAAATAAATAAATGAAGGGAAAAAATATAGTTCAAAAATGGTTTCTAAACTTCTTATATTCAAAAATAAATTAATATAAGAGATTTCATGAATACATGTATTAACTGGGACTGTAGCATATAGTTAGGGACATTTATATATCATTTGAAATAGTGCAAGTTTTGTGCCTGTAAAATTAAAAACCAATTACTAATTAACAAGATATGATTGTACTTCTTCAAAACTATTTACACTTGCAAAATATTTTTTCAAATCTGCAAAAAAGGCACTGCTAGGGCTGTTTAATACAACACAAAATATAATTATATATTACATCTAATAGCTATTTCCACTTTTTTTACATCTAATATAAATGTATATAACACATGTAGAGTAATCAAAACTTTAGGCAAAATATCAAGCTCATTAAAGATAAATTGTTTCTAAAAACAGCTAAGCACTATTAACAATGAATGAACATTATGTTTGGTACACATAAACATAATTATATTAAGTGAAATTAATTTACAGAATGTTTGGTTCAAATTCAAGACATACATACAAAATAAGCGATGCTTTCTTAAAATCAACTTTACAAGCATCTACAACTTAAACTAAAACAAAGAAGTTTATGAGCATCTTTTTAAAACCAATTCCATGAAGTGTTTCTAACCATACAAAACATTCATATATACATGTGGCAAAAGCTACAGTACCTCACATTAAAGGCTCACTAAAGCAGTGATAGTTATAAGTAATTATATACACTGGGTCTTTGATGCATCTATGACGGTCAAGTAAACAAAAGTTTGATGTCATTGCTAACAAAATAATGACGCTAGTATGATGTCACATTTATCACATCTGTGATGTCAAACCTACCGATGTGTGATGTCATTGCTAACAAAAACATGATGCCAGTGTGACATCACATCTACCAAAGTGTGATGTCACAGCTTACAAAACATGATGCCAGGGTGACATCACATCTATTACAAGTGTGATGTCACAGATTTAAAAACATGTTGCCTGTGTGACATCACATCTACCACGAGTGTGATGTCACTGGCCAGCAGTTGTTCAAACAGAATAACTGTTCAATAGAGATATATACTTAAAGCTGTACTTTTCACTGCATATATTCTTCAAATAGATATGTTACACAAAGCTCAAGTGGAATGATACCCCTGCATGTAATTAAGCCATTTTATGTACAATTGGCAACAATCTCATTTTTTATTTACATAATAGTTGTTTTATCAACTCACTGATAGGGTGGGGATAGGCAGTGAATGGAATAACCACATAGAGATAATTATCAGACGTCATGAAAAAATTCTAAAAAATAATTAACTACTAGTTAATGCTTCTTTTTAAACCATTTCTCTCAGACAAATCAACACAGACATAACACCATCTGTGACTGTTGGAAGACAATTTTGGGAATGCTTTTTTCAACTTCTTAGAAGTCTAAGCTAGAGACTTGTGTAAGCAGAGGGTGTCCTTTACTGACAAGCTTTGTACATTTTGTGGCAAATTCATTTCAGTGAATGCATGCCATCTTTTTGCTCCCAAATATTGTAATCACCATCTCCTGTATTCTTTAATAATATCAAACTGGGACATTTTGCTTAATTAAGTTTTTCATATCAGCTCTTGCGATTGGTTTTATCTATTCAAGCAAAAATGTATCTTCAGTGAGCCTTTGAGTATATGGGGCACATACTTCTATATGACATACTATATCAGTCTGCTCCTTATATTGTTTGGTCCAATTACAAGCTGTACATCATTTCTTCCCTTTTTTGTCTTTCTTATCTTTGTCTTTCTTTTCTTTTTGGTGCTGCTCGTCGTACATCGCCTTGGAAACAACCATGAGGCGATAACGCATCTTGAGGTTCTTGGCACGTAGATGTTCGCTGACAATTTCCATAGTGTATGAGGATGGGAACCAGCCATGCTCCCCATCGCGTATTCGTTCACCTTCATACCAGCCTAGTAAACGGAAAAAACATGAATTTTAAATATCAAAGTTGGTCACACCTGCCAAAGATATGGCAATTCCATGTCCAAACTAACTCAGAATTCTGAATTTCTGGATTAAAATTTCATTCATGAACAAAACAATGTAGTTAGGGGTGCTACCATTTACTTCTGCTCAAATCTAATTTGGAGAATTATCTCGGGTAAATAAAGATGTTCTTTCCATCTGACATTTTCTTGTAACTTGACCCATAACTAGTAAAACCCCTGCTGTTGGAGATACCTTCAAACCAATTTTCATTCAAATTTAACAAGAACTTACCACAACACAAATTACATTGTTACTTGAATGTTTTACATTTTCTCATGGACATTTAAAGTCCAAACACTGAAGTTGGAGATGCCACTAATCAAATTTGTTCAAATTTAGAGAGAATTTACCCCAATGAAAGATAATATTCTTACCGTCTGCCATCTTTTTGTGGACGTTGATGACATCGCATTCTTCCAAGGTCAATTCATCATGCTGCTGGGCTGTGTAGGGATGGATAGCCTGAACTTGGGGACAGTCTGATGAGAAAATAATTTATTACTTTTTCACCATTTTTTATTTATTTATTTATTTGTTTGTTGAGTGTGAAGTCTGCTGTAACAGGAAAATATTACCGTCACTAGAAAAGCATTCCAAGAGCGCAAACCTCCGCCAAGGCACCGATTTTTGATTATTATTGATTATTGATTGATTATTGATCTGGATCACCACCAAAAACTAATCACTTCTAAGTTAACCCATTTCTGACCGACCCTGAAAATTTCATCAAAATCGGTCCATAAGTTTTTGAGTTATGTTGATGACAAACAAACAGACAGACAGGGGTGAAAATATAACCTCCTTGGCGGAGGTAATTATCTCTATTCACATGACAATTCGTCATATTGCCATGCAGTGTGAATATGAATTATCCCATTAATTATTACCATTAATTTATTTTCCCCAAAAAAATTTTAAGCCAATTACAATGTAAGGGGAAAATATTGTACACTGTTTTGGTTTTGGAAACAAAAAAATCATGTTTTATCAAAATTATCTGAACCGTAATTTTGGGAGTACTCACCCCAGGCCTCGTAGATTTTCTCATCATCACATTCATCATGTGACGACGACAAGGCATCCATCCAACGCTGCTTCTCACTCCTAAAACAAATATTTTTTCTAGAATTCCCCTAAAATGGTCCTCAGTATTTAACTGTAGTGTTTTGAAAATATCATAAAACATAACTGTGGGTCGAAGACTTTGTCGTAAATTCAGTGACTTATCGCAAATAAAATCAGCACCAGCATGCTGCTTTTGAATTCATAAGTAGCTGCTAGGTACCAGAGACTCAAAGTAAGCAACTTTATGACACTAAGAGATTTGATCAAAATGCCCTTACACAGACTCGCAAGAAATGACCATCTCCACATTCTTGCCTTCGTGATTAGAGAGCAGTACCAGGATGAACAAGTGGTCGCAGCCTACTGGAATTCCGTAGGGAAGACGGTGATCCTTTTGCATGGCATCTAACTGTATGTCCTCCAGGTGGATTTGACTCCTCTGAGCATGATCTATAACTGAATACTCATCTCTGGAATACAGAGACAATTGAGATGAATATAAACACTTGAAGACCATATGACAGCATAGTTAGGTCTATTTTATCCTCTCAGTCATATTGGTCATATTATTACTAAATATCAAGATTATGATCATTACAATTATCAATAACATTATTACTATTATTATAAATGACAGCAGTACTTACAGAAGTTGTATGACATTAACAAATAAAACAAATTCATATCATACTGGCCCTGCTTCAAATTTACAGGTACTTAGAGTAGGGCCATTGCTAACAGCACAGACAAGTACCACTGTGGACTTAACTGGAGATGTGCAATCAGACCCCTGCCCTTTTAACCCCCTCCCCCTATCCTACTACTGAAGGAACTATCATGATTGTAACTATCAGTACACATATTGCTGGTAAAACTCTTGGCAACATTATCACAGTCCCATTGCCAGGAGGGTTTGGGGGGGGGGGGCTTCAAAAGGACTTTTTGTCAGGAAAAGGTTCATTCTGGGTAAAATTGGAGCTATAGGTTTCATTGTAAAGGTCCACTTTTTCATTAAGGAACCCCCGTTTTTGAAATTACTGGCTACGAGCCTGTTATCAGTACAACCTACCCTTTTTTCTTGGTGACCAGGAGAAGGTCATTAAACAGGAAGAAGTACAGGGTCTGTTTTGTAGGCTTGGGTTTGCCCAGGGAGAAGCGACTCGGCTGCTCCCAGACTATACGTGCCAGATCGCCTTGTTTTACCAGGTAACGAGAGGTGGAGATTAGGGCCAGCTTCTGGAAATGTAAAAAATTGGTAATAAATAAATAAATAAATAAATAAATAATATTTTCATAAAATTCAATCCATCTTTAATATCGATATTATTTGCAGTTAACTGTAAAATACACACATATAAACACACACACACTTGTAAGCACACATTCAAGTATAACAGCTCCAAGAGCTTACCAATTGCAAGCAAACAGAACAAAGAGTTAATGCTGCAGTCAGAGAGGCAAATCTTTCAATACTGCACCTTTTTCACTTTGGCATACTGCAGCTGATTGCTGATGTTGCACATTTCTTCCGTTCTCTCCATTTTTCTTGCTCCCTCGTTGCAATCCTTTACCAGCTGAAATATAGATTATGAAAGGTGAAGGTAAATTTTATAATTTATGGCCCACTTCCCACTGTAAACAAGATGAGTAGTCTTAACAATGTGTGGCTGTACTTGGTGAAGATGTGCAATCATGGAATGATCTAGCCTCGCTCTTGGGTGCATAGTTACATTTCTAAGGCCATTTTAACATTAATCATTATACATGTACTTATCTGATACAGTCTGGAGCAGTTAACTTTGAAAGCAATTAGGATACATTTTAACTCCTTTCAACAAGTGCTTGACAAGATAACTTCTAGCTGATACATTTAAGTTAAATAATCAACTTAAAAATTTTCCAACATGTAGATTTGATTAAATTTTACTGACCTTCTGGAGCACCCCATGTGCATGTAAAGCGGCTTGGTGCTCCTTTGTCCCACTCTCCATGCGGTGGTGTATGGCGTCTATCAACAGAGGAAGTCTGGTGATTCTCTGCATAGGAAGGAGTAGGAAGGAGTTCATATTCAAACCCTGACACTCACGGTCCGATTCCAACCTCCGCAACTCTTCCACAAATTCAAGGTTCTCTTTTCTGAAAAAAAAAAAAATGTCCAAATTATTTTTTTAACAACAACAAATTTAATAAGTAGTTTTCTACCAAAAGTGGAGCATTATGTATAATATATCACAGAGTAAAGCTGGTTGATAGGAGAAACACACCAAAGTTCACAAATACTCTCTCTCTCTCTCTCTCTCTCACACACACACACACACACACACACACACACACACACACACACACACACACACACACACACACACACACATACATACTGTAATTTCTTCAGCGTCCTATCCTGGTACATCTGGTTGCTGCAGTAAGTGACGTAGACTTGGAAGTTTTTCTCAGCGTGATGAGTGATGACGTCACACAGATCTGTTAGATGGATGCTCTTTTTCCAGGTGTCTTCCAGATCCTCCATAAACCTGGAATTAAAACAAGAATGCCACTAAATTATTAACATCAAACTTAATTTTAAATACAAACAATGTGTACTTTACACATGAATATAGAAAAATAATGATTTTTACTGGAGTTTTATTATTATTTTTTCATTTTAAGATAAAGGTCAACCCTACTCAAAACTATTGAGAAAATTATGATCTGTAAACCCAATTTCAAGTTTTTCGTTTTTAATTTTTGCAGTCAAGAGTGAATACATCAATCCCAATCAAGAGAGTGATTCAAAGTTTAGAAACTCCCTCCTTTGGATTGAAATTCAGCCCACAACTATGCCACAGATCAAAGGTATCAAAATCATGCATATTATAAGTGTTATTTATTTATTTATTTATTTATTTATTTATTTATTCAAATTTATACTGTATCTTTTATCAATACATCTTTTTATTTATCCCAGATCAATCAGACTTCATTCAAAACCATTAAGTTAAACAATATTGCAAAGAAATAACACATATAAAGGATAAAAAACTAGAATCAAATTTAAAAATATTTAAAAAGTCAAAAGTAGTACAGAGACAATGCATTAGTAGATATAATGACATATTTGTATGAATACCTTTCCTTGACCTTGACCTATTCATATATAAAGTATTAAACAATCAACAATTAGCCAAAAACCAAGCTCTTAACATGCTTTTATGTTTACTGCACAAAACCCATGAAGCACACTGAATTTAAGACTTTACAAGCTAGAGGAACGTTATCTATAATCATGCTGACATTCCTAATGGTTAGTTTTCTTCAAAATCCAAAAATCAAGGGGTCCACAGAAGTACAACAATTACAACATACAGCAGGACAGATTATACATACAATGGGTCATTTATAATAATTTTGCACATAAGCTGTAATGAACAAATAAATCTATTTTTTTAAAATTTGCTTAAATATATGTCATTAGAAGGCAGAGGATATACCATGGCAGCAGGAGTGGGATGGGACTCTGAAAATCATAACTAATTTTTCCAAGCCATTTTATTTTCAAAAATTATTACTGCATAAAAATGTTTCCATTTGAATAAATCACAAACATTTTCAATTGCTAAATTCTTCAAGCAACAAGATTTTCCACCCGATTTTGTGAGAAATGACATGACAAACCATCTCAATACATACCTTCATAAGTTAGGCACAAACATACATGCACAAATAAGATACATACGCCTCTGAGTTCACAAAAGAACTTAGGGCCCAATTCCCATTCACAATATTGGTCTTAGTAGATCATATCAACTCTGAGGGGACTCTTGCTGAGTACAACAAGCTTAACTGAATGACACTCCTCCTCCTAGTGTTGAGTAAAATACAGAAAAGTTGGTGGTTATACGACTACTTTGGAAACAAAAGGAGGTGTGTTAATCTGCTAAACTGATTGAATTCAGCTAGAGTCCCCACAGGGTTGAATCAATCTATGTTAAATAATACTTTCAGCGGGAATGAGCCCTTAGTCATTTCAAGTTATCCACCCTGTAGCTAAAACCCTGTACATTTTTTTATATAGACATCAAGCAAAGAGTTACACATATACTATCACAGGCTCAAAACAGACACACATATATAGTTTTAAATGAGATAAAACCATTATCAAATGGGTAAGTTTACATATATTGTACTACATCTGATATGCAAGCAAGCCAAGCTAGGGAAGCATTCAGACAGTCACTGTAACATGAATATATAATAGGAAAAATATATATTATATAATACATACGAGGACATATAGCTTATCATTTTTGGTTCCAGTTCGTTGAGAAATCTGCAAAGGAGTGTCAGAGAGAAAAGAAAATACAGAGAATAAAATACAGTAAAGATTCATATTGAAAGAAGAAAGAATAAAGAGCATATCAAAGTCAAGTATGTAGGAAGGCAAGAGCCTCTGAAACAACGAACTTACAATACTATTTATTATAGACATCTATGAGTTGAGAGGCATCTAATTCCTTAATGTCCATATGTTGATTTCGAATGCTGTTTGTGTAAAAGAATGTACTAAGTTCCAGACTGCATTACATCATGCAGCATTTAAATTGTGCTTGCTGTGACAGAAGAGAGTGCTCAGTGGTAAAAATGTAGATGATTGTGTTATAAGCATATAATGCACATTTGATCCTTATATAGCAAAATAAATAAATAACTAAATAAATAATTTAAAAAAATTCCTGGAAATTTCAATAACATTCAACAGATTGGACAGCGTATAACTTGCTGAGGAAGAAGTATTGACATTTTCAGGAAAAACAGTTTCTTTACTACTATATAAAGATCCAATGTTTATTGTGTGCCTGTAAGAAAAAAAAAGTTCCTTAATATTTAATAGCATTATTGGCAGTGTACATATGTTAGCTGTGATTGTTACTGAAACGAAAGCATGTATTGTGCTGTTATGTATTACGACATAATACAAGACGTGTTCTGACCTGTTTCAACTTAAATCCAAAACACTCTCAATGACATCACTAAGCAACAGCTAATCAACAGACCCCAGTTATAACCACAAAAACCCTCCCCAAAATTACAATTCACAATTTTACACTTCATATTCTAATCAATACAGTTTCTTCTCATGTCTGTTAGTTTAATAAGTTAGAACAGTTAAGAACACACCTCTATTTTGTTATAAAGATTATAATAGTTAACTCACTTCTCACTGACATCTCGCACAGCCTTGATGTTTGAAAACAGCACGTGTCTGTCGCGCCGTTCAAGCACGCACTTCATGGAATGCTCTGCGTTGAAGGCTTCTGCGTTCATGAAATGCTCCACCAAGAGGTCAAGGCTTTTGAGGTAAGATGCCTCTGATGTGATCACTTCGAAAATTGCCTGAAACCATGGATGGCCATAAAACTCTATGCTGTCTATGAGATACCATTTGTGAAATGAAAATAATAATTTCAAAGTTCAGTGGCAAATAGCATGATTTTAAATGATTCACAAAGCCATAAAAAATACAGTAACAGAGGTTTACTCATAAATACGGTTATACATAGGAAAATTGTGAATTTTACAGATACTGTATTTTTAGGTCAAAAATTCTTTAAATCAGAACATTACTCTTGAGTGGTACATGTAGCAACAAAATTAGGAAGCGTGCTACTAGTAATCTGTAGTTCTATTCTATGCAGTAAAGGCAACACAAATGGTTTATAGAAATATAGTTTTTGTGATTATAAAATTTATATCTGAAAGTTTGATACTTTTTTTCCATTGAAAAGATTGTATAATTACCATACTATTTTTAATACTATTTTTCTACCAAACTACATACCTCTTGCAACTTGCGTTCTGTAGAAGACATTCGCTCCAAGACCCCACTATTTTTAACCTGGGAATATAATTATATTTCATCATCATCATCATCATCATAATAATATAATAGTCTGCCATACAAACATGAAATTATATTTCATATAAGAGTAGTATTAGATATAAGGATCTGATTAGGTGTAAAATCAAGTTGTTTTTTGATGCACTGGATTAAGTGTAACCATGTGTACGGTGTGACAAGGCCATCACCACTTGAAACATTGTGTTGGGTGTGACACAACTACAGATGCGACATCTACAACAATGTTACCTCAGGCATCTCGCACCAAAGTGTTCTAGTTCCTGTTGGTGTCTTTGCATACAACTTCGACGTGTGTTGACTGCTTTCAGAAGCCTGAGATTTCCTTACATCCTCCGCCTGATCGTAGCTGTATGCATCCTCGGAGGTTGATGAATTGTGGGATAGGGGCCCAATCTCTGTGTCATCGTAGAGGTCGTTATCACTGGACTCTTCATCACTGTCTTCTTCAGCTTGAAAAGGGAGGAATATATGTTTCATTCTAATACATATTTTAATATCATGAACAGTGTGTCCAAAAAAAAATTGCAATCACTCTTTGACTGCCAATTACTTAATATTGAATATTTTGTTTTGATTGCCAAGCCGTATCATTTAAATCAAAGAAAAATGACATTATTTTGGAATAATTACAAAATAACATGGGATTAAGGTAACTTTCAGGCTAATATTTTCAAATATGTATATATAACATACATTTGTAATTGGCAGAAAATTTATGTACATTATCTTTGAAATCTCCATTTTCTGTCCAAAAATAATATCAGCAGCCATGATATGCTCTTTAAGTTATATATTAAAATAAAGTAGAATAGTGGCACTTGAATTTATCATTACCATGTGTTGGCATTTTCATTTTCCTGTCCAAAGTGTTACGCTTAATAAAATCTTGATTGTACATTTGGTAAAGGGGCTCTGAGCTGAACCGAGAACTTGCTCGGCTGCGAGACAGAGGACGAGGCTCTGGGTCTGATTCCTGAAAAGGGTCAAATATCTTTAGAAATGCAGAGATGGGTACATAATTATATAAACAAATATCAATTGTTGTCAGTTTCAAATTGCCCCCAGGTCATATATACAGCTTTGCATTACTTCACTCAGACTGACAAAAACACAGTTATAAGAAATTTAAGTAAAATAAGGGGGGAGGTCAACTCCAACTTTATCTTCTCCTTAAAAAAAAAAAAAAAAAAAACTCAGTGCAGAATACATACCTTGGTGATAAAAAGAAACAGCTAATTCAAAATTAATATACCAAAAATTTCCTGGATAATAAAGAAATTTCCCATCTAAATATCTAACACCAGTTAATTGCCTTTATATATCAGATAGCTTCAACTCACCAAAGTAAGGTAGCTAGCACTGCCTGTCTCACTGATCCTCCGTTCATCGTCAAACTCCTGGAGCCTCTTGGGAACACTGGCCAGGTCTTCCTCGGTGATATAGCTGGCCGAAGATGTGGTGGACAGATCTGAGCCATGCTTGGTCAGCTTGGGCCTTGAACTGTTAATTTACAATTTATTTCCATGTATTAATTGGAGAGGGACAGAGTTTGATATATCAGTTAGCCAAAGGTGACAGGGTTTGAAACGTGATTGTGTGGTGCTTTAGATGTGACAGTGAGCTTGCTTTGGCAATACCAATACTAAAGATTTTAATGTAAAATTCTTCCCGGAGACAATTTTAATAACTTAAAAACATGGTGACATATGCATACTAAGACGGCAATTTTGTTAGGTCAGTTCTGAAGATATTTGACTATTATATTATATTTAAATTATATTTGTTTACTAATAAAACTGTTGCTATATTGTAGTAGTTGCAGATATATGAGTAACTTAACATGACTGCACAAGACTGCACATTTTAAATACACATCAGTTCTACATATTTAATAATCACACTGGATTCTGTACCTTGGTCTCGTGTTCTCCTTTTTCACATATCTGCCTCTGGAGTCAGCATCTCTGGACTGGTCTCCTTTGTTTTCTGCAATAATTAAGTTCACTAATGTCATCAGGTCAAGGTCATGTAAAGGTCAAGGCCATCAACACTTTGAAACTAACCATATTCAGACTTACCCAGAAGTGTTAAGATAGTCTTCTAATAATTGTTAGGTAGTTCACTGTTACAGGCGTATATTATATATATTTAGGCTAGCATGCTGTTATTTTCATTGATAGGAATATAGCCCATGTGTATAAATTGTAAAGACCACCGATGCCACTTTGTGAATTGACAGACAAGCATGGTTACAAACAAATAAGCTACTGTTACACAGATAGGCTTCAGCAGATAAGTAAATCTAAAACTGAAAAGTCAATACACAAAAATAGATAAATAATTCATAAGAAAATGAATAAAGAATTAAACATGTAACTCAAGTCTATGCCCCAATACATACGAGTACAATATGATGTACTACTTTATGCTTGTTATAATTATGTAACATAGTAGGCCATTCTCGCTAAATCAATGTTAGCAAGCATTTAACTAACCCAAAGGACTGCTACGAGCAGCAGGGAAGGAAAAACGCGCCATTTCATCTTTGGATATCAAAGCAGCTTTATGCCGCATGCGCACTGCACCTGGCGCAGGCAGAGTCACCAGCTCGTACCCATCGCGATCTACTCCCGCAAGTGAGCTATCACCACCACCAGCTACAAAATTGTTAGCTTCTGAAATATATTGCAGAACAAGCATGCATCAGTAAAGCCCCATTCAAAACAGTGGACTAACTAGTCTGAGGGTCAAACATGGCTGACCTACTCGAATACTTCACCATGGGGAATCTATTGTCTATTAGTGGATAAGACGACAAGCTTTTTAGTGGGTTGCCATATTTGACCAGCAGACTAATTAGTCCACTGTTCTGAATGTGGCCTAAGTCATGTGACTGGGTAATGTGGCAAGTGCAATTTTGTACCTAGTCTTGTTACCATCCATATTGTAAGAATTACAGCAAATACTTTTGCTTCACTTTGTTAAATATACATTTTTGGTAATATTTTAAACAAACTGACAATTTATAATCTAACAAATAAAACAGATGGCATGTGAACATATACATAACTGTAAGTATACAAAATCACCATCAATAAATCAGCTATTTATTTCAGCATAAAGTGAAGTTTTGTGCATTGTTAATGGTTCAGAATACTGAATTAGCAAGAAATAAAAACAGAGGATGTTAAATACTTCAGTCACAATTACACACAAAGGACTCGGAAATGACACACAAAGGAAAAAAATTAAGTTGTGCTTTGCAAAACCCATCCACCCAAACTCTGACAAGAAAACAAACACTTTAATAGTAAGTAATTTGGTGAGTTGACCTAAATATAATCTCTGTTGTATCTTAAAGCATGTTTCCAGTGGACATGTGCCTGTCCAACTTAGAACAAACTTTCTCAAAAAGGCCAGCAATCGAGTTACAACGTCGCACTATAAAAATCAACCGTGACCCTACAAAAAGCCATTATCCATCAAAATCAATGGCAAGACAAATTGTATCAGATCAGTTTCCTTAAAGGTAAGACATCCCATGGGATGCTCAATGCAGATAGTTAACAGGTAAGCCAACATATCTTCACTCGAAACTGGCCTTAACATGCAGTCACCAAATGTATAATAACCCAATAATCCTGGTCTCAACTTTCCTGATTTTTTTCTGAACCAAGCAGCAAACTGTTAGTACATATTTGGTATTTTATTATATGAAGTGTGAAAGAATGTTCACAATATGTGCAATAACAATGGGTATCTTGTTAATTTAAATTACTTACCCATAGCTGGTTCTTCAAATGACAGGATAATTGCACTGCTTATATTTTTGTTTACAAGAGATGTATTTTAATACCCTTCAATGTGTATCATGCTTTCATGCATGAAAGCTCGTTTACGGGTAAATGTGGGCACAGCTAAACATCTTGTGAGTGAAATATAAGTGCCATTAGCCCATTTTTTGAAGTGCCAGTTTTGGGTTAAGTCGGTAATACTTAGTTACATGGTTCACCCACTGTATGTGGTAAAAAAAGTAATTATCTTTGCCACACTGCGATAATCACACTCTTTCATATTGCATACAGTGGGTTATTAATTTTTTAACTAGTTCGTATCCCATGGTTAGGGCTTCAAACAACAGAGTAATTGCACTTGTGGTTCACTAACACCCTCGTCTGAATTTTAATATGTTTCACTACACTGCAAGCAAAATACAGATGCAATCATCTTATTGTTTGAAGCGCCAGCCATGGGATAAGTCAGTTTCAACTACTCATAGTCCACTCTATGCGACATACAAGAGCAAACTAGAGGATCAGAGAGGCGATACCGCCTCTGGATATTGTACCACCAGCTGGAGTAAGCACATTCGTAAGGACACCCCCCCCAAAAAAAATAATAAAAAAAAATTGGACACCACCACCAGTCTTGTGCTTGACAAGCTCTATAAAATGCAATAAACAAGAGTTCTCAAAATATGCACAAAAAAAAAAAAAAAAAAAAAATCAAAAAAACATAACAGTTAAAATGGTCCAATCAAGGAGATGTTCAAATTGACCTATATTTTCCTAACACTGATCACTCCTGTGATTTTCTAGACAATAGGCCTATTGGTTTTCCTTGAAATGCATTATCAGTATTGCATATACCGGTATGCTGACAAAAGAGAAAACCTAGGGACAACACTGAGCAGATCTCTGCTAGTTTTGAAGATATGAAGGGCACGAAAATATGCAGAGTTCAGTTTGTGNTATACGCTGGTGGTACTAATTATATCTTGGCAGCATCTCAATATATTTACACTCTTATACAGGGGCGGACCTAAACATATTATCTGACGGTCTTCCAAAAAATCTTTGTTGATTCATCCTTCATTTTTGACCGTCTTCCGACAGAAAAAATTAGATACCCATCAATGTAAACTTGAAAATCTGACCGTCTTCTGGAAGACCCAGAAGATGGCCTAAATCCGCCCCTGCTTATATGTTGCATACAGTGGATGACTCTTGTTGTTACTAGTACATAAATATACAGTAAGCACACAAACACATCACACAGTATGTAGACAAGAATACAAGATACTTCTAAGGGATATATGGATAAATTACCCTCATTTTGGTCTAATCTTGGGGGCTTCTGAGGCCCTGGCATTGGAGAAAGTAATTTATAAAATATGTAATTAACTGCCTTTATACAGTGCCATATCATCATGTTGTCATGATGTTATTACCATATAATGTACATAAAAGCTGTAGAATGGAGATAATTTGTCACATGACTTGGATCTATATTCAGCAGCTTTAAGATGTAATTGGTTTTGGTTTGAGGGGTTCCATGTGTTTATTTATCTTTTAATTTTCAACACACTTATGAGAGAGAGAGAGAGAGAGAGAGAGAGATGGAGAGAGAGAGAGGGGGGAGGGAGAAAGAGCTAGCTTCACAATCAAAAGTCTCTGTTTATGTGGTGTGTGTGTGTGTGTTTGAGTACATGTATCAGTATGCATGCACATGTGTGTGCGACTTACCACTCCTGGGCAAGGGAGGTGGAGGGCGAGTGTCGTACTGTGTGGCTATATCCTCAGCAGACCTTGCCTTGCCTTGCTCCCCGATATGTGAGGCCTTCAGGTGACTGGAATCTATATCAAACGACTGGGCACGGCTATTTCTGAGATGTCAACAATAATAAACACTGACAATTATTTGAAGGCATATTACACAAAAATGTCTAATATGTGCTCTATAAAATAATCAACTTTAAAATAAAGCATGTTTTTTGAAAGACAGTGAAAGAACAAAAGAAACAAACTAAGGTTAAAGTAAACCCCTTTACATTAAATGAAAAACCCAAAAGCGGAACAATATAATTTTCTGTTCAAATAATCAAACTATATCATAAAAACCCTATTATACTGTTAAAGACTGACCTAGTTTCTTGGTTATTAAGATGACCATGCACTGTTGCCATGGTGACCCCTCTGGGTTTGGTGAGTCGAGGAGGTACGGGGGGACTCCCTGTAATATCTGGAATGCCCTTTGAGTCAAAATTACCGGAAATATCACTAGAAGCAGATCCCGCAGTAAAATCTTGGAATGTGTTGTATTGATCCGTATCAGAATCTGAGCGTGGTTTGCCTCTAGACGCAGGAATTGGTTTAGGTTTTTCCACCCTTCGAGGTATGGGAGGCGATATGGGACCTTTATGTGGTACGATTATCACGGGACTATTTTGTTCAGGTGGCACCACTTCATGTGACTCCTCCCAACTGTCAAGACAAGCCACACTGTGACTATGTTCGAGGTGTTTGTTGTTCTGTTTGCCCATACCAATGCTACAGTCATCAGAGCTGATTTTCAAATCTTTCTTTAAATGTTTTGTAGCAATTGTAAAATGTGATGCTGCTTTATTAATTTTACTCTTGAATTTTGACATAAGTTTTGGAGACACCTTAGCAGTTTCTTTTCTGGTTGGCAACAGTACAATTTCCTCTGAAATGCGACTCTCAGAGGTTTCAGAGCGTCCATCATAGCTTGTCAGTTTTTTAAATCCAGTGAGTTCTACAGGACCGTCCTCTTCATCTATCTCTTCATATCCATCATCTGATGCCGACTCCCACTCCTCCTCACCTTGGGGTATCTAAAAACAAGGCATGGAGTATGTTAGGTGGGCATCTAAAAACAAGGCATGGGGTATGTTAAGTGGACTAATTATTATACCTGTCATATGAAGCTAAATTTTACTTTGTCTGTCAGGGATATCTTATATTAAAAGAAGGCATGGCAGTGAGTTAGCAGCAACAAACAGCTATAATCAGAAGTTTGCTTTCTCATCAACTGCTAGACCCACCTTAAAGAATTAATGTGAAGAGTAATCATGTGAAAGTTCACTGACCAGTCAAATTGTATTTTAGTAAGGACAATGCTTAAATATAACAATTCCTATGAACAATCCATGTACTTATGATTTCATTATCATACAAGTCCCTCCCAATGGCAGCCGAAGATACAGAGAGACAATTCTCAAAAATTAAAAAGCAACCACCTCCTCCTTTCCATAAATTTAGCTAATTTTTTAAACTTTCTTTACATATGAAGAGTAGAAGTACCTTAAAATGGAGGCTCTTCCCTTCCAAACATGTGATACGGCTAGTACTTACAATTTCGTTATCATCATAAATGTCCTCGACAACCACGGTCTCGCTCTGTGCATGTTTCAGTGGGTCCGAGAGATAACGCTGTCGGGGCAGAGACTTTCTACGACACTCTCTGGTTTTTGTACTCTGGCGATTTAATGAGGCTCGCTTTCTGTAAAATATAAGTACGAGCATTTATACATGCTTGTCTCTGAAGATCCAAAAGTGAGACTAGTGTTTTTATCACTTAAGATAAAAAATTGTAACAGTTATATATCATTAACTTAATTATCCTGAAATAAAAGAAATAATCTTATCATCAATTTTACCTATATGGGGACAATCAAGAATTAATTGCAGCTTGATTGCAATTCCCCAATAAATTACTTCATACATTATTTCAACTAAAGAATTTTGATAAAAGAAATGGTTACTACTAAAATACAAAATATCATTGTCGCTACAAAAATCATTTGTATATAGACTAGTATTACTTTTCCATAATCTGACTGGCACTAACACACTGAGCAATTCAAATTAAACATTATCTTTAAGCACTTTAATTTGACTCTATCACTGGAGATGAGAATACAAAATAAAGGCCTTGAGCAATAGCTTTATTATAGCTTGGTGTGCCATTTATAAAACATGCACATGTAGCCCTGATATTACAAGCCAGAGTTATTTATAACTCATGAGATAATAACATTTAATTCACTATTATAATTACTCTTCCAACAATGAAGTATTAATTTAACTGATGGTTCTTCAAATGCCTCTTTTTCAATACAGTAACTATTTCTAACAGAAGTATGCACATTTCATCAATTTAACAGATCAGATAAATTCACTTTTCCTACTGCTCAGGGTAGGGCGTATACTTGCATGTCAGCCAAAATATGTTTAATTTAATGCATAAATCTACATATGTACAAATTCCACATCTAAATGTATTTCACACATCCCTTGCCTTCAGCAGTTTTTCTTAAAAACTGTTTTGAATTATTATATACATAGCCTATAATAAGGACAAACGTCTGCACGAGAGGTGTTTTGTATCAGTCGGTGACATGACAGTTTATTCTACTGTAACAGATATATTTAAGATGTGTTCACATCGGAATCAACTTAAGGTGTGTTCACAATGAATCTATCATACTAGGAAATTCAAACTAAATCTGCAGGGACACTTGCTGAATGCAATCAGAATTACAGACATCTTACTCTGATTGCAATCAGCAAGAGTCCCCATGACTTTAATATAAGTCCATTTACTGGCAGAAGAGTGCACCTCGAAACACAACATTCAGAGTTAAACCATCACAAGATGACTGGAAATGTGGACTATGACCTCAACATTATAGGTGTTAAAGTATTAAGTGTGAGCTGAGTGCACTCTGAGTGCCACCCTCTAGTGGTGTCTCAGCCTGATGACAACATCACTCAGAAATGTGTAATAGTCTGATAAGGTCAAGAAGGAACAGTTTCACTCAATTAAATAATCTTTAAATAAATGGTGTGCTAGGTTGTATTAAACTGCTACTGTCCCTGTTGCCTTAGTGCTGTTGTTTATCACCTTTTCAAATCAGATTAAGAAAGAATAAATTTTGTTTAAAATATATAGAGGTTAATAACAGAGAATAGGGTGATTACTGGATCTTTTCTGTGGGCGGATATTGTGAATTTTTTTCAGTCACAATTCCTGAAAATTAGAACATTTTCTATTGAGTGGCAGGACAATAAAATAAAAAGGAGGCTATTCTGTATTTCTCATCTATGCAATAAAAGCACTGCAAATGCCTTTTTTAAATATAAATTTTGTGATTATGAAATTATGTATCTGAAAATTTGATAATTTTTGTCCATTGGAAAGATCAAGTTATTACTGTATGGATATTTTACATGTCATGGGATCAGGAAAATAAGGAATTAGATTTAAGGTGACTGTATGAGTACATGACTAAGTGCAGTACTTCATCAGATTAGAATTAGGGCATGAAATACCTCAAGTGTATTTTATCAAAGGAATATCTCAGATAATGCCACTGCGTGACATATGGTTATTAAAATGGATACACAGTTATTATATTTCTCATAGACTTCAAACACCACACTTATATTTTTATACTGCTGACATCCTCAATCTGCAGATTCTCAAACAATATTATTTCCAACATGAAAAACATTATAATATAACTAGAGGATCAGAGAGGCGATACCGCCTCCAAATATTGTACCACCAGCTGGAGCAAACGCAATCGTATAGACCCCCCGTACACAAAATAAGGGACACAGCCACCAATTTTATGCTTGACAAGCTGTAAAAATGCAATCAACAAGAATTTTTTAACTATTGCAAAAAATATATATGGTACAATCAAATTTAAGTTCTTCGTAAGGTAGGTCAAGGGTCAATTTCAAGGTCACAGTAAATTGCCAGTATATGACTTCCTATTCAAGTTCAAGAGTAACTATGGACCTATCTCTGTCAAGTTTGAAGTTAAAAGAGAAAGAAATTAGCAGAGTTCAGTTCATGATAAAAAGTAGGTCAAAGGTCAATTTCAAGGTCACA